GGATATATAGTGAGTTCCTGAATTACAGGGTAAAACCCTGTCTCAAAAATTAAAGTGATAATTAATAGAAAGACTAACATGGGCTCTTACTTTTCTTCTTCTATACTTTAAAAAACAACGAGAGTGTTCTTGCCTACCACACAGTAAACTATGGGTTTAATCCCCAGAACTACAGAAAGCCAAGAGTAAGGTCAGAGCAGGTGGAGGCTGGTGTGGTAGACGTTCAAGGTAAAATCAGGTACGTGCAGAGTTTGAGGCTAGCCTGGGCTACATGGGTCCTGTATCAGAAAACACAACCACCACTAAGCAGGCTGGAGCGGTGGCTCAGAGGCTAAAAGTGCTTGCTGCTCTCCCAGAGGACCCACGTTTGGTTCCCAGCACCCTTGCTATGCAGCTCACAACTGTAACTCCAGGTCCAGGAGATCTGACACCCTCTTCTGGCCACTTCAGGCACCCACACATGCATGGTAAATACACAGAATACAGATATATGCATAAAGAAAAATAAATTTTTTAGCAAGAAAAAGAAAAAATGACTTGAAGCCAACTTGGCTCCCTTACACCTCAATGTCACTCTTTGTGAAAATCAAAACACCCCTCCATCACAATCCCAGGAGAGACAGGGTGAAGCAGATGATAGTCACGTGTACAAACATGGCTGCTGACTTGACGGCCATTCCTCCCCTCTCACAGTGAGCCTTTCTAACGTGTTTAGTCCCTTTATCCACACAAATCAGGACAAAGATGGTGTCATTTGTGTATAATGGCTTTTAACACTATCAGACAAGAGGAAGCACTGGGCCATCACCTTGTCACCAAGGAACCCAGCAACTTCCTCTCTCTATGACATCTTATTTTAGAGGACTAGGGATAAAACAATGTTGGAATAGTTATGTAATTGGGATCTCATGCTAATACTCTGGGAGAAACTTTAATGAGACACTGTGTCATTCACTTTGGCTATCAGACTGCAGTTATCTTTTTCTTTTAAAACATTACTCTGTTTTGCTGGGCAGTGGTGGTGCATGTCTTTAGTCCTAGTACTCAGGAGGCAGAAGCAGGCGATCTCTGAGAGAGTTCAAGGCCAGTCTGGTCTACAGAGTAAATTCCAGGATAACTAGACTACACAGAAAAAAACCTGTCTCAAAAACAAAACAAAAATTAGTGTGTTTAATAGGCTTTAAGGATCCTAAGTTTGATGACCTCCAAAGAAAAGACTACTGTATATTGGCCAATTGAGCTCCATAGATCCCCAACCAGTACTATTGCCAATGCTCCAGGTTACCCTTCAGAAGTGGGTAGAAGTCCCTGTTGCTGAAAACACTACATACCTGAGTCATAGAACATGGGGAAGTCTAGCTGTTACTCAACTGGAAGCTTCACCCCAACTGGCTAGCTTTCACACTACCAGAGGCTCAAGCTCACCAAATTGTGGACCCTGAAAAGCAGTCATAAATGGTCTGACAAGATGTACCCACTGATAACAACAGGGGCACAAATGCTATGGGAGTGACCAACCACTTTCTGATTGTATCTAAGGCCACTCCATGAGATGGACCGCATACCTGGCACTGTTGACTGGGCCCAGAACCTATAGCTAGATAGGTCCCAGGGGAGAACCTGGTACTATTATTCTGCCAAAGAGATACAGCATTAAAACAACTCCTAATTACTTAGGACTATACCTATCAATAAGTGCCTCTCTCAACCACCTTCAGAGCAGCTTCCTGCAGCAGATGGCAGTTAACATAGATCCTCAACTGGTCAGCATGCAGAGAATGAGAGATGGGAGTGCTCAGCTATAATGGGAGATTTACTTCAATCTCCCTCCCCCAAGACCAGGATCTTCAAGGATGAAGGGCAGAGAGTGTAAATACCAAGGTGGCTGATAACATCAAAGACACAGTGTTCTCAAGATACACCAGGATGATAGCACATGAACTCACAGCATTTGTGACAACAGTAACAAAATCACACAAGCTCAAGCCAGAAAAAATTCCTGCATTGGGGGGAGGGGGGAGCATCCTACCACTAGCCAAAGGGCCACTGGCAGTTTACAGCTGCTGTCGAGGAGAGTCAGTTTTCTTTGTGTGGCCACTGGTAGGTCAGCCACATTCCAGGGCAGGCTCACACCCTGGAGTAGTTGGGCAACATAGATTGGACTGGGTGGGCTTTAAAAAAAATAAAGAAAAATCAGAAGTTAGTGGGAAGGGAGGTGAACGAAATATACTCTATAAAATTCTCAAAGAATAAAGTAGTTTTTTAAATAAAGATTTTGTTTATTTGTTATGTACACAGCCTTCTGTCTGTATGCCAGCAGAGGGCACCAGATCTCATGCAAGGTGGTTGTGAGCCACCATGTGGTTGCTGGGAATTGAACTCAAGGCCTCTGGAAGAGCAGTCAGTGTTCTTAACTGATGAGACATCTCTCACACCCCCAATAAAGTATTTTTAAATGTAGATGTTTGTGTATGAATGAATTCACACAGCATAATAATTTTGAGGCCTACATTATACAAATTATTTAGTATTATGTAGTATATTGATATTTTCCTTTGTATAAATACAATTTGTTAATCCATTCACCTGTTGATGGAGAACTGTGATCTTTCTAGTTAGTGGGCAGTTTTATTAAAAAAAGGGGGGGATTATTAAAAAAAAGGCTATTCTCTATCTATTAAAGAAGCAATTGTGACAGGCCTGAAATGGTGTTACCTCACCAGAGCCCAAACTACTAAAACTCTTTTCTTTAAATAATGGGGCTCCTTCTCCCAAGGAGGGCCTCACCCTCCCTGAGGAATGATGTGGGGGACTGGTGGAAGGGCAAGGGAGGAGGGGTGGGAGAGGGAGCGGGGATTGACATGTGAAACATTCATGTTTCTAATTTAAATAAAAACATATATTGAGGAAAAAAATAATGGGGCTCCTTTAAGGGTTCCTTTTCAAACGGTAACAGAGGGCAGAGGCAGTGAGGTAACCTGTGGTCTAGGCCTCCTTCCCTACAGGAAAGATTAGTTAACAGTGTGTGGTCTAATGTTCATACGCTATAGCCTTAATGTCCAACCCATCCATCAACTGTGAGATTGCCACAGCAGTGGGGTATAAAATCACACAGACCCCCACCTCATTCTGACAAAACTGGAAATCAATCTATCAATTTTGGTTTCCTACTTTCTTGAAAACTAAGGTAGAGGGTTTATGGAGCTAAGTGCCTGACAACCATTTCGTATTTGTTTTAGTCATACAATGAAAACTGAACCATTTATCAAAGGATTTTACTGAGGTACTGTGAGCCAAGTTCCCAGAAGGGGGGAAACCCTCCCCCACTAAAACCCCTCTACCTGTGTACAGTTTAACTGATTAGAACTCTGCGACTGTAGAGACAGAGCTAGGATGCTGGAGATCTAGAGTCACTCTGTGTTATCTCTGGTCCCCTTAGCAACCACTCGTTGCCTAATTCTGTCCAACCTAACATCCTTGTGACTCTCAAGTAAAATCCTTTGCAATGTATTAGCAGACTACTAACTTCCAAAGGAATATTAAATACAGTTGTAGTGAAGTTAATTAAATGTAGCTCCCTCTTTCTGGAGTCTGTATTCCCTTTCTTGACTTCCTGCACTTCAACAGCTCCTTCTGGGAACCTACACAATTTGCCTATCAAGAATGACAGAGCACAATAAGAATTACAGGCTAAAATCTGAGGGAAAATAATTAGATGAATATAACTAATATAACTATAACTCTCCACACAAATAAAAAGAAAAGAATGCATGGACCATGAAACACTGTGGGTGTCAGTTCTTGCTGGATGATCCTGAAAGCAAGGTGGAATAAATATGGAAAAAAATACAGATTTTTTTCAAGGATTAAGTACATCCCCACTCATCTTGTGCTGTCTTCATCATACAAAAACTACTGACATACAGAATGTTCCAGAAGCACATATGATCCTAAGTGACCACATGTAGTTCACTACTCTGTCACTTTTAGGGAGCTGAAGGGTACCGGAGACCCAACCCAGGTCCTGGAGCATGCCAGACACGTGGCCTGCTGCTGAGTTGTACCCAAAGCCCCGGCCTGTTTTCCTGCTGAGTATAACTTCGAAGGGATTTGAGCCATTGGGAAAATGCTAACACATTTGATAGGCCTGACTGGAGGCAGCCTAACCTCCGGGTCTGCTAATGGTGTGTGTTCAGAAAAGCTGAGCCAGCGTCCACCTGCATCAACTTGATCCACTTAACAAACACCTGTGCCTTCTTCTGTGCAAGACAGACTATGACCTTTTCGGATCCGTCTGAATGAGGCAGTATTCACATCCAATTTATGAAAAAGGTATGTGACAGGTTTTGAAACTAGAGTCATCTGTATAATGCTGAACTTCTTTCTAAAAAAGAAAGAAAGAAAAGTAGTGTTGCATCTTTAGAAGGGAAATACTCAATAGACACAGTAAAGACCTGCATGCCTAACACCCATTTTTGGCTGTAACTTTTCATGACCCAGTGTACTCCTGCGCCCCCAAACTTCGAAGCAAATCGTCAATTTGTATTTCAACTAAAGTAAGTAATCCTAAAGGACCAGTTTGTAAATAATGTAATTATGGAGCCAGAACGCTTGAGTTCCAACCAGGAACACATGTGAAGAGACTGTTCCTGAAACTTGTCCTCTCGCCTGCACACACACATATGCAATGTTTAAAAAAATTAAATGCCATTATGGTACCCTTTCTAAAACTGAAAACATGTCCTCAAATTCCAGAACGTTCCAAAACCAGGACACAGTCAAGGTCCACAGGTTGTTTTGCTCCTTTAGGCTAACTTTGGTCGTACAGGTTTGCAATCCCTGCAATTCTCACAGGAGTCAACCCCAGGAACTTTTAAAACTTGATTCACGAAGAAACGCTAGGCACAGGCCCTGTCAGTGTGCTCGTGTACATTCATAAACACAAAGCACACGCGGAACCACCCTTTCGGGCGTCCTCTGCGACCGTGGTTGTTATTTACCTCTGGGGTTTGAGCAACAACGCCCTTTATCGGATCATTTGCAGAAGTTGGGGGCGAAGCGGGCGTGTTTCCTTCTCCTTGCAGCCAGGTGTACGCGGTGGCCTCCGCCGTGGGGACGGGAGGGGTGCCACTGCTCGCCCACCTCCGCAGGAGAGAAGTGGCTTCGCCCCGCGCTGCCCAGTGCGGTCCCCGAGCCAGTCGCCGCGCCCCGGCACCGCCCGCCCGCCGGGCAAGAGCCCAAGGTTCGGTCGCCGTGACCCGGTGCGCCCGGGCGTGTGCCGGGAAGCCAGCGAGGAAGGAGACACGCCCGACACACCCACCTCACCCCTGTGCCCGCTGCAGGAGGCTGGGAAGCGCGGCGTGGGGACCGGGCGCCCGTGGGACTCTGCCCCTCGCCGGTCCCCGACGTCCGTAGAGCTTCGCGTTCCGCTCCGCGGAAGCCCACCGCCGCGCGGCGTCCACCCGGGTCCCAGGAAGGGAAGGCTCCTCGGGACGCGACAGTCCAGTGACCCCCGCCCCCAGGCGCGTGCTCACCTCAGCTCGCGCTGCTCAGCACCGGCGCGGCGCAACCAGCTGGCAGCCGCCAAGCCCCGTGACTGGCCGAGGGGCGGGGCGGCGCGGCGCTCACCTCCGCTCGCCCCGCCCACCTCCGCTCCACTTGCTCCAGGTGAGCCCCTCCCAGGGGCGGAGCCGCGCGCTGCTCACCTCCGCTCGCCCCGCCCACCCCGCCCCTTCCAGTCCTAGGTTGTTCCCGGAGTAAACTGGTCGCTCCCCTTTTCTTTCAGCCCGGCCAGGCCCGGAGCGCTCCGGGTAAACTGCCCGAAGCCTCCCCGAGATCGCCCATCTGGCTCACACTGGGAAAAGCAGGCTCTGGTCTCCAATGGCTTCGCGAGCAAGCACTCCCTAGACAGTGTGTAGCACGCCCCCTGCCGGTGAGGTGACGAGAGGCGACCAAGGCTGCCACCCCGGGAAGGCTGCGGGCAGGGGTTGGGGTGCCGGAGACCCCCTCCTGGTGCCAGACCTTGAGGACACAAGCCCAACCTGAGGTGCTCCCAACATGCTGTTTGTGTCATCACCTCTTGCTCTATGGCCAGTTTCTCAAGGTCACCCTTGGCAGGTGTCTGCAGATGAGAATGTTCGCAAGGCGATATGACTTGAGACGCTTGTGCCAATATGCCTTAGTGCACTATAAATTCCGATTTTTTAAAAATAAAAAGTCTGCAGTGACATGCCTTGTGTTTTTTTCTTTGCTGGCCAGTGTTAATTCAGTATTTACTGAGAACTTACGACTTGCTACTCATTTAAACATTTAAATTATGACACAGTTTTCTCCCATTCCTCTCCAAACAGATCAGGACTGTAGTCTAGGCCTTTTCCCCTCCCGGCGGGACTGAACTGACTTTGCCAGCAACTCAGAAATGGCCTGACAGGGTAGAAAAGGCTCCTCGGGTGTTAAATGTGGGCTGAAGGGGAACTGGGTTGTGCCTGCCTCCCAGCTCGGAGGAGTCGTCGTGGAAGGAGCGATGAATGAAATCAAGTGAAGCTGTGTGTGTGTCCCATCCAGTGTCTGCCCCGCCAGCCCGTGAGAGCGCAGGGAAGAAGGTGGAGCACCAGAAATGGCTGGGGAATCCTTTTGCAGAGAGAGAGAGGGCGGGCAGGGGGTGTGCAGTCAGATCATAGCCCTAAGAAAAACAACAGCCATCACCTGGGGAGTGAGAACTTAAACAGGGCTGGTCACACAGCTCCCTAGACTAGGTGTACACCAACCTTACCTGCTGGCCTTGCCGGATCCGGCAGCACGATCCTGGGGGAGATGTAGAGTCACCATGGAAACACCTCTGGATGTGTCTGGGAGGCCATTTTCTGAGACCCTTCCCTGAGGTGGGAAGACCCACCCTGAATGTAGGTGACATGATCCATGTGGTCTTGGACTGAATGAAAGGGGGAAGTAGCTGAACCTTTATCTCTGTTTCCTGACTGCAGCTGACCCAACTCCTGCCTTTGACACCCTGATGTGCTGTAGCCTGGAAACGTGAACCAAAACAAGACCTACCTGCTTATATCTTCACAGGTATTTTGTCAGGAATTTTGTTACAAGAACAGAGGAATGAGCTAAAGCAGGTGTCCAGAGTTCCTAGAAACCCAGATCTGAGCTTCTGAGACCTCTGAATTGTCAGATGTCTGTCTACAAGAGACAGACTCTGTCTTGGTAATTCCTCACCTCAACTTGTTGGAAGCGATTTACCATGCTAACGGGCAGAAGATGCCATTGCTGGGGAGAGCATAGTCACATGATTCTGCCCCTGGAGATGCAGAACAAAGTCCAGGGAAGGCTTGCTTCCTTGAGGAAGACCTCACCTCTCCTCGGGTTTCCTTCTTGCTGTGAGCAGGGGGTGGAACAGAAATCTTAGACTAGGAACAACACTCATCAGAAAAGGGGGCTGCACCCATCCTGAACTGCTATGCTCAGGCTTCTTATTACAGGAAAAAAAATAAACTCTTTCCTTGTTTAGCTCATGGACGAGAGAGTTTCATGAAGTTGAACACCATAGCAGTGGATACACTGTTCTTTCAGAAGACAAGCCTAAAAGTCACTCTAGGCAGGCTACCTAAAAGGGTGTCATTGCAGAAAAGGGGTGTTCCGGCATCAGAAAGACCAGGCTGTAGCTTCGGCTCTTCTGATTATGCTAGCTAATGACTGTGCCTAACTTTGTGAAATTAGATTTTGTATTGTAAAATCAAGAGCTATCTTTAAAAAATAAAGACCCATGATACATAGTGCTTAGCATATAAAAATGATTTATCAGTAATCATTGATATCTACCAGTTTCCAACCTCTACCAGATTTTTCTCTAGCAGAATTCAACATCACCGTTTTGTATAAACTGAAAACATGACCCTCCAAAGTATGGTTGAGGAGAAGGTTTTTATTGTAGATACGAGGGAGAGTATAGCCAGAAGCACCTGGAAGAATCCAGAGCAGGGAGAGGACATAGACTGAACATGACCAGCAGACTGGGCGTGGCCAGGAGAGGGGAGGGGAGTGGCAGATGAGGACAAAGAGATGATCAAGAGAGGAAGACAGGAGAGAGAGAGAGAGAGAGAGAGAGAGAGAGAGAGAGAGAGAGAGAGAGAGAGAGAGAGAGAGAGAGAGAGAGGCTCCAAAGAGACTGAGGATAGCTGAAATAGCAGGGTTATAAGGAGAAATGGGGGCAGGGAAAGCTCCTGTGATGGAGAAGCTCATGTTAAGGGAGGAGACAAGCAGAGCTAGTTAGGCACTTGTGGTACCCAGGGAGCCTGGAGACCAGCATGCACTGTGATATGCTAGTAAGCACCATGGATATACATTTGTTCCTCCTGCCAGCGATAAGGGAACTGGCTCCTTTGTTAAAGGGGAACAGGCTTCACAAGTTCTTGAGGAATGTTAGTTTTTGCCTAACCAACGGAATTTGGGGGAATGGAGTTTCCTTTAGACATGCCAATATTCATTCCCAAGGCAATTGCTTATTCAGATCTTAGATGTTTCTGCAACAAGTTTCATTACACAGCATCAACAGTCTCGTATCATTTATTTATGTGTGTGTGTGTCTGTCTGTGTGTGCCTCATGTGTGGGTGAGGTCTGAAGAAGGCATCAGATCTCCTGGGGCATTTTACAGGCCATTGTGAGCTGCCTGACATGGGTGCTGGATCTCCTGGAAGAGCAACAAGTGCTCTTAACCACTGAGTCACTCTTCTAGCCCTTGCCTAGCATCCTGCCCTAGCGGGGGTTTCTGTTACTGTGATGCAACGCAATGACCACAAGCAAGTTGGGGAGGAAAGAGTTTATTTGGTTTAAGCTTCCATCATGGTCCATCACCAAAGGAAGACAGGACAGAAACTCCAGCAGAACTGGAACCTGGAGGTAGGAGGTGATGCAGAGGTCATGGAGGAGCTCTGCTTACTGATCTGCTCAGCCTGCTTCTCTTATAGAACCCAGAACCACCAGCCCAGGGATAGCACCATCCATAATGGACTGGGCTCTCCCCAATCGATCACTAATTAAGAAAATGTCCCACAGGCATGTGTGCACCCTGATCTTTTATAAAGGCATTTTCTTAACTGAAGTTCCTACCTCTCTGATGATTCAAGCTTCTGTCAAGTTGACATAAAACTAACCAGGATACATCATATTTCTTCATATCCAAGACTGCCCTACCAAAAGCATGCTGTATTTTGGTCACTCATGAGATATTCCTGGTTTTACAGGTAAACTGCAAATTACTCTTTGACTCCTGGTTCTTTTTTTTTTTAAGTGTGCGTAGGCGTGTGTGTGTGTGTGTGTGTGTGTGTGTGTGTGTATGTGTGTGTATGAGTTCTGCCACTCATACATGCACGTCTGGTGGCCAGAGGTGAATGGTGGGAGACCTACTCTGTGTGTGTGTGTGTGTGTGTGCGTGCGCGCGTATGAGTTCTGCCACTCATGCATGCATGTCTGGTGGCCAGAGGTGAATGGTGGGAGACCTACTCTGTCACTCTCTGCCCTACCCTGGGTGCTGCTTGTTTTCCTGCTGATCTAATGTCCAGTGAGCTCCAGTGCTGGGGTTTTGGAGTAAGCAACCTCGCCCGGCTTTTTATGCAAGTGCCAGGATCTGAACTCAGTTCCTGACGATTGTGCAGCAAGCTCCCCTTACTCCCTGAGCCATCTCCCAAGCTTGCTAGATCTTTCTTTGTTGCTGTTGTTACTGTGTTTTTGTTTGTTTGTTTTTTGAGACTGCATCTTTGGCTGTCCTGAAACTCACTCTGTAGATCAGGCTGACCTTAAACTCACAAAGATTCACCTGCCTCTACTTCTGGTGTGCTGGGATTAAAGGCATGTGTCACCACTGCCCAGCTTGTTTTTTTGTTTTTTTCAAGACAAGTCCTGGATGTCTTGGAACTTACTCAGTAAACCAGGTTGGCCTCCAAGTCAGAGATCCACCTGCCCCTTGAGTGCTGAGATTAAAGTCAAGGCATGTACTACCACACCAGACTGTAGCTCTTTCTTAAGCTTGACACTCTAACATCAGTTATCATAAGTCTGTATTTTTAATTACGAAAGGTATGTTGGTGGCTCAGAAACAGTATTTAATTGATGCTAAATAGCATTAAAAATTGATGAGAGTCACTTTGCTTTTTTGTTGCTGTTGGCTGCTATTGGCATGGGTGCAGGAGAACTGGCTCTGCCCAGCCTGACCAACTCTGTTACCACCCAGACCCACATGTAGGGCTTTGAGTTGGAACTCCCCACCATCTACCCCATCTACGATGAAATCCGAAATCAGCATCTAAACCTATAAAAACTCAAAACCCAGATGACTAGAGGCCGGTATAAGAACACAATCAACAACAGCAGGGGCAATATGGTACCACCAGAGCCCAGCTATCCTACTACAGCAAGCTCCGAATATTGCAACACAGCTAACACATGAGAAAATGACCTTATATCCAATCTTAAGAAGATGAGACCCTTAAAGAGGAAATTTAAAAATCCCTTAAAGAAATCTAGGGAAACTAGCCAAAAACAGGTAAAATAAATGAATAAAACTGTTCAAGACAACACAAACTAAGGGAATTCTGGAAATGGAAAATCTAGGTAAGTGAACACGAACTACAGACTCAAGCATCACCAACAGAATACAAGAGATGGGAGAGAGAATTTCAGGTGATGAAGGTATGATAGAAGAAATGGATACATTAGTCAAAGAAAAATTTGAATCTAACAAGTTCCTAACATAAAACATCCAGGAAATGGGACACTATGAATACACCAAACCTAAGAAGAATAGGAATAGAAAAAGAAGAAGATTCCCACCTTAAAGACCCAGAAAATACTTTCAACAAAATCATAGAAGAAAATTTCCCTAACCTAAAGGAAAAGACACCTATAAAGGTACAAGACACTTACAGAACACCAAATAGATTGGACCAGAAAAGAAAGTACCCCCACCACATATAATCAAAACACTAGATGTACAGAACAAAGAATGAATACTAAAAGCTGCAAGGGAAAAGGGACAAGCAGCCCATAAAACCTTCCTATTAGAATTATACCTGACTTCTCAATGGAGACACTAAAAACCAGAAGGGCCTAGACTCTAAAAGACCCCAGATACCAGCCCAGACTACTATACCCAGAAACTTTCAAACAACATAGATGGAAAAAACAAGATATTCCATGACAAAACCAAATTTAAACAATATATATCCA